CCTTCTCTGGGTCAGGCGACCTCTCTTGCACCCAGCCAAGGAAGAGATGGAGATTTGAGGGAAGCCTCCGCCCCCGGCGGCGGGCTAGGAGCCGGGCAGAGGTGGCCACGGGCGATGCGCAGTAGGCCAGGGAGTCAAACCCAACCCCCGCAGCTCGCGGGCTCCAGAAGCCCTGACCCCTCCGAGTTGCCCGCTGGGGCCGTGCCTCGGCTCCCGGTCCGCAGGGACTCTGGGCCGAGCGAGTCTGGGGACCCTGTGCCTCACGAGGCTCCCTGGCTTTCCACACCGTTTCAGGGACTCGCGAGTGCGCCCCCGCCGCACGGGAGGAGGCCCGCGCTTTGTTCTGGGCTGTTGGGTCTCCGCGGGGTCTGCGGGCTACTGGAGCACCGGGGAGGGAGGGACGGAGGGGGCGAAAGCTCCACCCCAACAGGCGCTCTCCCTAGAATTCATTTTGGAAACCGAGGCCCCGGCGCTTGACGAATGAGCCTGGCCGCCCGGTGAGTCACCGCGAGCGGGCGACAAGGATTCCCAGCAGCTGGCAATTAACTGCGCCGCGGCTCGGCCCACGGCGGAACCCCAGCCGGGCCCCCGGGAGCCCTGCAGGGGCACCACCCCTGAGTCACAGCCGTCGAGCCTCGGCCGTCAGGAAGCGGCCGGCCCCCCATGGCGCCACCAGGGGGCACTGGACTCCGCACAGGTCGGCCGCTGGGAGCCAACCTGGGGGAGGGGAGCCCCGGCCGGCCCGCGGGCAGGTGCGCAGCGGGGGATGGGACGCTTCCTCTGGCGCAGGCCAAGCCCCGTAGAGAGCCGCTTTTATTGGGTTTACAAACAGCCTTTCAAGAAAACGAAACCGCTTTGTGTGCACACTGGAAGGACCCTCCGAGATAAACTAGTCCAAACCGCTGTTCTACAGATGGGAACGCGTCCAACCGGAGAGAGTCGTGTGCCCAGGGACTCAGGCAATTCTGACCTAGAACCAGAGCTGGAACCTCCTCCAGGCTCTGTCCATGGCTCCTTCAAGGACCAGCTGCCTTCTGGTCACAAGTTCAAGTGCCCTGAAGAGCCGCAGACCACCCCCCAAACGCTGGTTATCCCTTTTCTTCCCCCTCGGAATTA